CAAGAAGAGGATGAAGCAGATTTCAAAGGTCTTGGATTCTGCATAAAGATAGGGAGAAAGCTGATAGGTTCTTATTAATGAGCAACTCTAGTCTGCTATGAAATCACTATCCAGTACTGCTTAATATTCAGCTAAATATAGACAGTTTCCTTGTTAATTTCTAAATCACAAAGAATTCAATCTGTTTTGTTATTATATATCAGTGAACAAATTTGTTTTCGGCGACATCATCCTCTTCAGCTGTACAATGGAATTTACTGGCAAGAAATATTAGTATTTTTTTTATCAATTACTTTCATTAGATTGTGACCAGCAAAAGTAATGTAGGAGTGTAAATTATGTACTCCTAACAATTTGAAAGATGAAATTTAACTCCTAAGATCGATATCCAACAAAGTTTTAATGCAGAGATAAAAATCTTCATCAAATTTCTACCCAACAGTCCCCTATCATTGTGGAGAAGATGAAGCTAATTTTCAACTTGCAATTCAGTGGAAATGCAAGATATGAGGTGGCAAGACGCAGGATAATAAAGGTTGTCAAAAGAATAGTCTATGCAGCCACACTAAATTACCTGTGGTAGTTGCTTAAGAGTGAACACTCGCGTGAAGGACTAACTGTCACTGTTAACCATTTCACTGTGGATTTATCAATTCACCTGCTTCTATGGAGCTAGATACATAGACTATTTGCAGCGATGGGTTGTCCAAAACCACTGACTTTAATGCAATTCAGTAAAGATCAGTGCAGATCAACCAGCGAACGGCTCCATATTACAACACATTGTTGACAGTGGACACAAAGTCCCTGACGATTCGTTTGGAGTAGCCTAAAATAGGGTAAGGTAATCTTTTCAAGGGTATGAGAACACGCTTTTGTTGCATTGCTGGGGCTTTGTCAATACAAAAATGGAAACCAGAATTACCTATCCAAAAACTAGTTTGCCATTCCCTGTGTTTATTCACTTCTTAATCTTTTCTAACTTTCCAATAAATATACACTCTAATCACATCACAATGCGATTGTGTTACTTCTGAGGAAGATATCACCGAAACCAAATTTGTTCACCGAATTATTCAAGTAATGAATTTCACTGTGAAGTTCCAATGGATTCAGTAGACCAATTGTTAAATCCAGTGTAAACATAAGAGATACAACCGTGAAAAAATTTGGAGTAAATTTTTTGTGTATTGATGCGAATCTTTCGACAAAGTACACGTGTTTCCCTCCACATTCGGTGATAAATGTGTACCGATGTAGAAATCAGACTTACCAGTAAATTAAGTGAAGGGTAAAAATAGAAATTACGGTTATCACCTCAAGTTGTTACGCTAAGAGAGTAACTCTGGAGGTCATCCTAGCAACCAGTAAAATAATTAATAAGATTGATTTATTTCATTTAGAAGGGGAAAACTTTTTATCCATCAAATAAAGAAGTCTTATTTGTTACTTTCATTGCTGTTAGGCTCTTCTTCAGAGTTATTTACTAACCAGTGATTTCATCTTAGTTAGTGACTGTAATTTTTCCTAGAAATTTTTTGAAGCACTTGTATCCCTTGATAAGTTCTGACTGAACAAGAAAAAACTAGACTTCCTGAATCAAATGATATGCTTCAGTCATACAGGTATTGGTATATGACAGTGTATGGTCACTGATCCAGTCCAAATTGGATAAATATCGTGATCATGTCACATACAACTCTTACGGTAGCAAGTATTACATCGAAATCACTGAGAAGAGAGTAGCCATTTGGTTTACTTAGCCTAATCCCAAGAATTTATGGCCTAGAAGAGATAAGATTCCAACCAGTACAATTGACAGGCATCGCATAGATATGCAATATCAAATAGACATTTCGCTTCAAGGAAGCGACTACTATAGGTGCTTCCAACCGGATTGCTGCATACAAAAGTAGAGTGCGGCCAATATCTAACCTCCAGTTGGATGTAGTTTGACCTTTCACCATTTAATTACACATTTCTTCAGTCCGCCCACCTACTAATCCCAACTCAGTTATGCACCCATGCCCCGGTCAGGGATCGAACTCGTAGCATTCAGCTCCTATGGTGTGCACGTTGCCATTGAACAACTGGGTCTAATTCCTACTTTTTTCAGTTCACGATATAGCCCGACCATCACCCAATGTCACTGCTGAGTATATGTCCCCACATCCACTCGGTTTGCCTTTCCGGTCATGACTTCTCATTGGAACTTCATGAGTCACCTCTCGAAGTTAGTCACTGATGAGCGCTACACGGCGGTTTAGTTTAGAGGCTTGTGATATTGACTCATTTTATGGTTGGCATTCATTACTTACCGATTTCAGTCGGAGAAAAATTGAAAATCTGGGAGCATTGAAGAGATGTCCCTTCCTAGTATGGCTTGGTCTTGGTTTTGGTCGCTTTCGGGACCATGGATGCACATTGTGCACTTAATTGCCCTCTAACTTACAATGTACAGGTCTATATTTCACTGGCTACAATCAACATTACCATTTCGACTGTAGTAATAGTTAGTTTCCATTGAAATGGGATATCACTCTTTCAATTTACTGGAGTTTTCAGTCAAACTGGATCAGATCATAAGCCAACCAAATACTTCATTCTGTGCAAAAAGACTTTATGCGATTATACTTTCTTGTAAGTTCAATCTAGAATTTGTAATGACTTGAATCCTACCTCAAAAATATAGGATAGTTGATGAAGTGAATAGGCACTGGATAAACACCGTAAGAAACCTACATTTGAAGAATAGGTTATATGAAAAATGTTTATGTTAGTAGTGACTGTTTACACATATTACTTCACATTCAAAGTGAAGACTTATTCCTCTGACCTACTTCATACTGAACGATGATTTGGATACCTTAGTTACAGTGAGCGATGCTGGTCGGCACACTTACTTAGTCGGTGTGAGACAAAAGGAATGTCTGTAACCATAAGAAAACTGGTGTCCCCTTGGTGTTTCAAGCTTGTGTCACAAAGTGAAGTGCCCAGGTCTTCAGTGGTTATCCGCTGCAGATGTTGTCAGTCCATGATGAATACCACCTTAAAATCAATCAAGTACCACAAACCTCCAAACTAAATCATAGTTTAACGCTCATTAGTAACAAACTTCGAGATGAGATTTCCTGAGTTCTAATAAGAAGCTGTGACCGGTGGGGTAAACCAAATCGAACGCGGGGAAAAAGTACTCAACGATGGCAGTGGATGAAGACCTTACTGTACTGTAAACTAAAAGAAATAGGGAACTATGGACCACTGGGTTTGAACCCAGCGAGTGAGTGACAGTGTGCTCTTATAAAGCTGAAGGTTATGGTTTTGATCCCTGGCTGTGTTGCAGATGCAAACTGCTGAGGTGTCCTGTACTAGGATGAATCAGTTGTTCAATGCTCCCATGTCTTCAAATTTTATCCAACCGCTCTCAGTCCATGAAGAATGCCAACTTGAGGTGAAGAACTTAAAGACTAGGCAATTCAGACTACGACTGGTCCCCTGGGGGACTGAATCACGTAGACGATCCAGTCACCACTGAGTAACCGGTATGGCTGTCTAAACCTCAGTGATCGACAGGGATTTAATTTTTTTGACCAACTTTTCGCAAGATGGCCACTACATGTTGGTGCCTCTCACTTCACCACTGAGGAATACAGATTCGAACCATGCAAGAAATACCAGTTTTCTCATTTTTGAAGGTACATCTTATTGCTAGTGAGTACCAACGAGCACATAGTCTAGGTCAAGTAGTGCTTCCTGCTAGCTGACTCCCATCATCTACATTAATTACCCAGTAGTGACCAGTTCATATCCAATTACTAATTGAATCACATGGATTATTTACATAAATATGTATGTATATGTAGCTGTTTCACCCACCTGTCACAAAACACGAAGGACATTCGATGTTGTCTAACAGAAAATATATTGTTTCAGAAGTCATACTTTTTTGAATACTCCAATTATGCTTTGGACCCTGGAAAAAAGGACCGGTTTTCCGGTGTTGAGGTGACTGCTATATATCTGGACACGTCGACAAACCTGCAGATCAGTGTGAATAGTTTCTGACAATTCATACCATCCACTCACCATATATTTTGTCAATTTCATAGCATTTTCCTTCCAGAGGTTACATTATGTAACGTTGTCCGTGTGATTCCCAATGGAAACTCTTTTATAATCATAGTTGAATAGCTATGTCAGCATGAACTATATAGTTTGTAAATAATTTGGAAATTCTGTATAATAACGGAAACTTGCAAGCATCAGTAAGTAACAGCTTATATCGACTGTATACGAGATGGTTCTCTTGACTGGGTTTCCTAGTGGGAACGACTTGGATTTTTAGGTTGTGAGTTCTGGGTTCGAGTTTGAGTGGGAGAACACTAGTCAATAGGATGCAGGTACACCCGTCTTACAAGCCCTAGACAGGAAGAAACGTGTGTTCTGGATCCGACTATCATCTAGGACTAAGCAAATCACAGCTTGCAAATCACTTCACGTTTTATTGTTAAGTTTTAAAATGCACAGGGCATACTCGTCGAAAGTTTGATCATTGATTTAAAGCGGAGTAACGACCGTGACAGCAGATCATAAATACATCTGAGTTTTTGCAAAACAAAATGAAAAATCTTAACCTTCATAACTAATGACTAATTTAATGAAATTCACTGGAAAATGGGATTCGAAACAGAATAACAAATAAAGAAATGAAATTTATCAAGATATTAAGCTCGAAAATAATTTGGAGAATAGGTATGAAAGTAAGGATCTCAAGGTCAAATGTTGCAATTTAAACAAGGGAAATGTTTGAAAAGTTGTTTGTAATGCTTCATTTTTCAATTCTTCATCTTATATGACACAGGAATTTTCCTATCATTTCTCATGGCTTCCTAATAATTGTTCCATTTCTCCACTGACACTCCTACGATTTAAGACAAAAGGTCTTAACAAAATTGAACATAGAATTGCAACAATGATCACAAGAATACATATCAAGATTTGTTGAATTATGTCTGGTCCTTTAACAATGATCTTTATTAATTCAATGATTGAAGAATTTCTTAAATCAGCTGATTCATTAAAATATACCAATGGTAATAATGACAAATCAGGAAGTTGAGATAGTTGTTTCATTTTTTGATTTTTCTAACGACAATATTCACTTGAAATTTACTCTGAGCACTAATGATAACTCCAGTGTTTGGTTCAATATAAACTGTTGTATTGAATTCATCAGTTGGGTGGATACCACCGACAGCGTTTTGATAGATTTCATCAGCCTATTTAGAAAAAAGGTGATTAAAAAATGGTGCTTTTTATGAAAGTTTAACTTATAATATGGATTCATAGTTAAGCTGAATAAAAATCGGAGTGGCTGTTCACTTTTTTATTGTTAAATTATAGATTATTTTTTAGTAAGTTATTAGTACTTACTGGAAATAGTACTTCAGAATGGTGCAAGACAAACAAGAATGGTGATTGCAGTAAGCCTATCCCAGACAATTCTATGGAGAGCAGTTCAAGTAAACAGTTCACACAAGCTAGCTGAATTACACAGTTTTGAATATTCCTAGTTACAGTAGCATAGACTCAGTTCCATTTAAAATAGCCAATAGGATTCCGGTTGTCTTCTCTGAGCTGGGTGGTTTCATCGGGAAACTTTCGTTATCTTTCTAGACGATATCATCATCACCATTAACTTCAATATAAAGTAACCTGTCAACATCTCTCCGTGAGTAACTTAATAGCTTGCCCTGACGAACTGGTTTGTGATTAGTTGTCTCCTTCGACTGTTGTGTCACTGACTGTATAGATTTTCCTGTTGTCTGTTCTTCTGCTTGACTTCTGACCTTTCTGTTTTTTGTCCCTATTCTCATTGGTTGCTAGATTCGGTCTGTAGCTATACATTTATTGATTACTAACTGACCTGAATGCTAAACTTCTAGGAATTTTCTGATATTCTTTGTGTTTCCTCTCTTCAAGATCCTTACAGTTTCAAAATTGAATTCGTATACATAGTTATCCACGTGCATTGAAATGAGTGATGAAATATCGTGACGTGTGACGTGTTCGTGTAAATGAAGGTGAGCAGAATGACCACTTTGTTCAAAGTTGTGTTGAAACTGAAGTGATGATAGTGGCCGCACTACAAAATGATCGACAGTTGTCGATCACCACATAGAACTAGACAATATGAAATTAGTTTCCCTCCAGTAACCAATCAATATTTTTGATCCTATCCTACAGGAGGTCAGTCACGGACAGAATGGCTCATTGGTGACGTCTCTGACTGCCGGACTTGTTAACCCAAGTTAGAAGCTCAGGCTGGACACCACTTCCATCACAGCTGTAGATATACCTTGCTGACGAGTACTAACAAACAGGAATTCTAGGCTAAGCAGAATTTGTTACCAATTACCTCCGTCCAACTAACACTTTAAATTCAGAATGCATACACTATATCACTGGCCAGAATATGAATAAGCGAGTAAACAGATAAATTAAACGAGTGTATATGCTTATATATGTAAGCCGTAATACAATTTAAGTATATTTAGATAGTCAAATGAGTTTTCAGAACTTTTCGCTGTATATGCCACAGCTTCTTCAACCTGAGAAATTAAGAACAGACAGTCCCGTTTATAAATGAAAATGAAACATTAAGAGGACAAAAATAGTTTAAAAACGAACATGCTCTAGAGTAATAAATTATTCTAAGGCAGTATTCATCACGGATCGGCATCAGTTGGAGAACAGCTGAGAACTGCTTAGCTGACTCTTCCCAGAATGGGGCTCCGCAGCAGTGAACACCTACAATCCGTCAGGGATCGAACTCATGAGCGTCATTTCTCCCAGCCACTTGGTTCAAACTTACTGGTCCAAAACTCTTGATTCTATCAGTTCATGATATGGCGTGGCCTTTACATGGTGATATCGTTGAATGTTTACTCTCATGTTTGATTGGTTTACCCCACATGTCATGACTCTACATTAAAATTTCCGGAAATGTCGTTTCGAAGCCTGTCCCTAATGAGCACCAGGCAGTGAATTATTTTGGAGGTTTGTGGTACTTGATTGATTCTAAGGTGGTATTCATCACGTACTGACATCATTTGGAGCGGAGAACCACTGAAAATGTGAAGATACTGGACAGTCGTTTCGTCCTACTACAAGATTATTGAACTGTTCGCATTCACAACACTCAGAGGCTCTCCTGGTTATGTCGCTTCATGATGATATAGATATAGATAAACCCCCATAATTCTTGTCAGTATTTTCAGTCGTATTAAGTAGAAGGCATCGATAGTAACCAGTCATTATGCTAGGTCAAATATTCCAGGGTAGAGAAAGCTCCTTACACATGTATAAGTGTCACCACAACTCAAAGTGAACTTATCGACACAATGTGAGGTAGGCCTAACTGAGTTTCGTTTCTTATTTGTTGACACTGAGAGAGGAAATATCCCCAAGGTTAAATAAAGACAGGCAACATAGAAGGTGAATTTGTTAATCAATCGAAGCTTTGGGCTATCAGCTGCATAATCCAGGCAGCTTTAAACAGTAAGTTGATGATGATTACCTTCTTCCCGATGAGTAGTTGATCTTTTCTGTGACATACAATGAATTTAACCTGGATAACCATCTGTCTGTAAAACTGAATATACCTATTTTATTTCACCATCCACTATATAACTGGATATTTTGAATACCAGACCAAATTATAAAGCTAACATAAGATCAACTTTCCAGAAACAAGCACAAAACGAAGAGTTTCTTCGTTTCAGTAACACTATTCCTACTCAGCACAAAATGTCTTCGGTCAGTTATCTATTCTTAACTTCTGGAAGAATATGTACCAAGTATAAATTGGATAACGAAACTAATCATTTCTTCAAATTGACGATAAAAATGAAATAAAATAGCTGAAAAAAGGCGTCTTTCATTTTCAGCATTCATTTCTGATTAGTACAAGCTAATTAAAGACAAAAAATAATACTGATACCGAGTTATGGTTGACAGTGGAGTGAAAATCTGTGTCATGACAGGATTCGATCCGGCAGCCTCCGGGAGTAAGATCCTACCGTGCTTAGATTTTCATTTCACCTTCAATCATCACACAGTATCAATAATATGAGTCTACTAAACCGCGGCTATCTCAGACAGTCACACTGATAAAAATGATACTTATCACGGATTGGCAGCAGTTGGAGAGCCATTGAAAACCTGGGAGCGCTAGACAGTTGTTTCATCCTAGCATGGGATTCTTCAGCATTGCACATGGATGACCCCACCAAGATGTTCAGGTTCCTCACCCAACATGTTACCCTTTAGCCAGTGGGTTGAAATACAACGATCCATATATTCCTACTCCTGGCAGTCCGCAGTATAGCGTAACCTCCATTCAGTGCCATTGCTAAGTACCAGTACTCATGTCCAATTTGGCTTGCTGCACTTGTCACAACTTCTTATAAGGACTTCAAGAAATTTCATCTCGAAGCAAGTCACTTATAAACACCAAACAGTAGTTCATTTGGGGGGTTTGTGTGGTACTAACATGCAACAGTGACATGTTCAATCTTTCAGTTATTTGCGTTAAGCGCAAATGTATTTAAAAGGTCGGATTCTACTGCTTAATTGTATCAGTAATCAAAGAAGAATGAGTTTCAACACGAAATACCTAGTAAATGTAGCTAAGGTATTTGCGTACAACGATATCATACTGAGTAAGAAATGAACATAGACATATGAAAATCTATATGTATAAAACGAGTGGGTTCCCACCTATAAACCTACTTAGTCTAAAAACCAACATTTAGACTTTGTTCATAATGTGATAGTTTAATTGAAACATCTAAGGACAGCAGCTAGTTGTATATGAATTTATTGCATACATGTTTCTGCTTAGCATATCACTATGACTTTCACTAGTATGTCAAACAGTGTCTAGTCTTGAGTGCTGACTGAATTCCATCGACTATTTTCCAATGCAGGGACTAAGGTAGAGACTAAAACCCATGAGTAGACTAAATTAATGTCATCTGGTTGGTGCAGGCAATCGATAGAGAGTCTTTCTCGACCTGGCTTTTGCGCCTTCGTTGGCACTCATCAACAAGGCGTATCTGCTACCACCTGAGAGATTCAACCCACACCAGTCAGTACTGAAATCATAGACATTGCAACAGAGTTATCTAGACCATGACTGAAGTCCTGTAGGATTGGATTAGACACACTGAATGGTCAGTGGAGAGTGACGGGTTCGAATTTCCATGGGAAATCATTTGTTTCGTGGTTGCAGATGCACCTTGTTTGTTCGTTCCAATAAGTATGAGACTTAGACGTAATTGCTCATATTCCTATTCTGGTCATATTCAATAATTGTCTGTGATGATACTGTGTAGAGTAAATTCCAAGTTGAGCAAATAATCCTAGTCTAGTTGATCTCCTGATCAATAAGGCAAAAAGAATAGTAACTGACGGGTTCAGTTAACTTGTCTTTTATTCAGTTAGACGTGCTGTTAAATTCGACTGTAAACCCAGTAGAAGCATGAATTGATTGGTCATCTTTCAGCTCAACACTTGTTAAGGTGGTATAAGAAATCGATTTAAAGTGATTTCCAGTCAACGGTTGTACTTCATAGCCTATACAATAGAATATTAAACTCATAATTCAAGGAGATCTAGATTAATTTCGGTACTATTCAAGTTTCCCTCCAATGGAAAACACCATTCTGGCTTGATAGCAGCATTTACCAACTTATAATATCTTGGTCTCTTCGAAATTGACTCAGAATTGTCGCCTTATTCTTCGTTAACACTTTTGTAATCGGTACTCTTGGTGATCTGAATACGAACTCTCTGTTTGACTGATCACAAGGACATATACTACTGATGAATCTCAATTCATCGGTCTCATGTTTCTCACTTTCTACCAATTGATATCGATGCGTATTAGAAACTGCTTTATTATCGAACAATCCCTACAAACTACCTACCAAATTACCACCCGATGTGCACTCGTGACATTTTTTGAAGTGGATTTCCCAAAGTTTTAAATATGAAACTGTGAACCATAGAGTCACCCTAGTTGGGTGTTAAGATAGTTGTCAACGAATGATGTTAGACAACGATCACGCTAAATCGCTAATTGACAGAGTGTACAAGTGTGGAAAATTAAATTTCAAGCCAACTGAATGAATAGTAACGTCTTTGCCATCAGAACTGATAGTCCTAGGTGGTATCTCTCCAGGAATCCTAAGTGCGCACTTATGAGAAGCCCCAA